CTACAGACAGTTTTCTCCTCCCTACTGCACTTTTATCTACGAAATCCCTTAATGTAGTGATGGGAGCCGAAGAAAGAAGGGGAGGGCAGCATTGTTAAGAGTGAATACGGGAATTGGTTTGAAAAGCATTGGGTTCGCTGACCGGTGTTGATGCGATCGATGTCAATCCCGGAGATGACGTCCGTCGTTCTGTCTCTTGACATCCCCCGCCTTGTATCCGGACATAAATTGCATCTTTTTCTGCACTGCATTTTTATAGTCTCATAAACGGATTGCTGAATGCTTTTCGGGTTGCGTGTGTACATGTCGCATGGAGTATTCCTGCCTCACTTCCGAAGGAAAATGATGCAATTTAACTTCCTTTCACCGCGTTTATGTTTGTTTTGGGGGGTTTTCATTCTCTACTTAGTCTTTTCTTTTATCTGGTGGTCACTAGTTAAATATATATCTACGTGTAGTTATGTTTCGAAACTAACATCTTACGGTATTTTGAAAATATTGTAAGAGCCGTACGTAAAATATTAGCCTGTAGCGGTGATCATTTATGATTGCAATTAGAAGTATATCATATTTAAGTATTTTGGTAGTATATTTTGTTATGTAAATAAAATGAAGCATTAGATGTGTCTGCGAACGCAGATCGCAGAGAATTTATATATTAAAATCGGTAAACAAATCCTTTGATTTAATATAAGCGTTTGATGTGAGAAAAGTTTTTACCTCTCCCCCCCCTTTTTTGTATGTATCTAGGTGTGTGAAGTATTTGATATGTATGGAATTGAATTTTTTATAATTTCACATAAGCTATAGTGACTAGGTAGATAACATCCTGAGCATTCGTATTTGCCAAGTTTGAATCTGTGCGACAGAAAGTGTTGATTTACGGAATTGCATTTCCCTATGTAAGTAAGTTACATTTGTGATAGGATGTGTATGGGCTTGGATACAGCTCTGCATCGATCAATTTAGTCACGTTTAAATTACGCTAGTTGTCATGTGATCAAAAGCACCTTCTTCGTCGGGTCTGGCCAAATGCAGTAATAGTAAATGAACACGTAATTTCCTCCGAGAATACTGTTTCAGTTAGTGCTTACATCACTAAGAAGACCTCCGTTTTAAGATCGAATTCTAAAACCGTCATTCCGTCTCAAATGCTTTTACTATGTAATGTATTGGAGGCCGTTAATTAGCTCTAGATAATTTAAGATTTATGTAATAGCTAGACTAATTAATCTGACTTTGATATGATTGAATACATTCATCAAAACTGTTTTCTGCGAAAGTATCCATTCCAAGATAGAAAATTTAAAAATACTTTCCTGTAGTAAATTACGTATCTCTTTACCTGAGGTACATCAGCATTACCTCATGAAGCATAATTTGGAATTATATTGTATTTCAACGGAAATTTTATTTTTTTTATTTATTGCATAAAATGCTAAGTGTAAATTATTTTGTCGTTTATGTAGAGAGCGTTTTTTTTTTTTTTTTTTTTTTTTTTTTATGTTTATTTCTTTCCCCGTCCTCGGTGCATGATAGAATAAGAAATGTTCCAATGCTCTTTATATTATTTCTTTTACCACTTATTTGAAAGGAGAATAAATGAACGTTATATCCTTAAAAGAAATAAAATGCTGTTCAAAATTGTATTAATAAATTTCAGTTGAAACAGCAAATTGTAATCTTGTAGGCCAGTAGTTAGAATGTTATTATTTCGAACTTTAATATATTGTTCCTGTAAATAGAAACAATTGAGCGACATCTTGCTACAAAGCTGTTCTGATATCTGAAATCTTGCCATTATGAAGACATTGCAATAGTGTACGAAAGCTTTCTGTAACAAACTAGCGACATCGTAACGAACTTCGTTGGCTTTATGCGAACATATCTAGCTATTGCGCCAGAAATTTGCTAACAAAGGAAATGTGATTATATGTCCTAAACTGCTTGACCACGGAACATTAACTTTCTTCGGCGATTCAATTTTCCGGTGGCTGGTCATTACAGGATCTGCTATTATGGTTGGGAAGGAAATGTTAGAATATAATACCTCATCTCTGTCCAAATAAAGATGACGTAGTTTGATATGCTCTAGAAGAGTGGCGTTGAAATATAGTGCTGGAATACATATCTGGGCTTTACTATTTAATCTGTTAAAAATGAGTTACATTCTCAACGGGGGGAAAGAAGCAAAGTAATAGATTTAAGTTAATTTTCGCAATAAATTGTAAAGTTAGCAGTCTGCGATTTTCATTAAGGATTTTATGAATAAAAGTTGCAGCCTTCACAGAAGTTCCACATCCGTCGATTCAAGATAACAGTTTGAGAAGGCGGTAATTTAGACACGAAGCCCCCTCCACAAAAAAGCGATATAAATGTAATGCTTATTTATTTACTGGTTCGTAATTAAATAAGCATTATATTGAAAGTGTTCTGTTATATTGTATGTACACAATTGAGCAATATTATTCTAATTCCTTTTAAAGTAATGTCTCTTGTCTTATAAGTCTTTATTAAGAAAACAAAATAGTCCTACAATTACAGTTAAAAGGATAGGGGAAGAAAAGCTGGGGGGAAGTGGAAATTTTCCGATTTAGTCTGAAATCTGATATTTACGAGATCTCTGAAATTTTCTTCAGTTTCATGCCATGATGAAATTCTTCCCTTTCTTTAGCAGTTACAATGTATTATTTAATTTATTAAGAGTTATTGCAAAAACTTATTCAAATTATTATTATTTTTTAAATCCCGTTATAGTGATGGCTAGGTATCTCGCATTCCATGATCCTTCGTTTTTAGAAAATCTGATCTGATGATCAGATTACAATCTGATGATTTATACATATAAGTTTCTTAGAATTTAAATATTAATATATAATACGGTAGCCAGCGCATTAAAAACATTTCCACTTCTTAGAATTCTATATAATGCTAATTTGGGATGTGAAGTACTGTGGAACTTCAGTTTTCCAGACTACAGGTATTGCTTGCTGTTTTTTCTTTGCCAAGTAAAGCTAATTAATTCTTTTATCGTTTTTATTTCTTTCATTCATTTAAATGTAATGAACTGATTACAATGCAGATTTTTTCAATTTTCATAAAGTCAGATAAAGGTGATCTGTTGATATGCTTATAATATTCGGTCGGGTATTTACGAAAATAAAAATATTTTCGTTGTTTGATTGCATTGAAAACTAAATTGCAAGTTTTGTGTTTCATTTTAGGAATAATTTTTTCATGTTTAATCTCTTGCAATAAATGTGATAAGCAAAATAATAATAACAAGTTTTTCGCTTGCAATTTGTAATGAGTTACAAGAAAAGTATAGCCTATTTGTGTGAATATTTCGAATAACCGAACAAGTATGGTCCCATCTAGTCTGGTTATTTGAAACTGTTCCCTAAGTTAGCCTAAAACCTTATTTTAAGTAACAACAGTTGTGTAAACATTCAATCATCTTAAAACAATGCTAGTTGTCAGGACATGAGCTTCCAAGTAATAATAATTGCAAGTTTTGACAAACATTTCAGTCACTTTGTAACAGTGCCAACTATTTCCCACCAAATCCATCTCTTTTCAGAGGCTTTTCGTTAGAGCATTCAGCCAAAGCGCCTAATTAACGGTTTAGAGTAGGTTTTTTTCTCTCCCTTCAACTTAGCTTTTCCTCCAAAGAGAATTTTTAAATTCTTTTCTCCAGCTTGGCTTAAATATCTTTACTGAGCTTTGATTCTAAAGTTTGTGACTAATCAGAGCTTTGTAGTTTTTAGTTACTGTTGATTACGCATCACTGTTTTTCAACATCTTCCTTATATTTTTAAAAGAAAGAGAGCTGTGAATAATTCACTTCGTTTTTAATTTTGTATGTTGCGTTCTGAATGTTCTTCATGTTTAAAGTACGTAGCAAAGTTTATTAATCATGTATTTATTTAATCCATTTTTAATAACTACTAACTCTTGTAATTAACGCTGTTTAATTACAATCAATATAATTTAAAAGTCCTTGTAATTTTTTTTTTTTTTTTTTTTTTTTTTTTTATCCCAGCGACATTTTGTCCTTTAGATTTTCTCGGCATTGCTTCTAATTACTTGATTGGCGACATTTATCTGTCTTCTTTTGTATAGAAATTTAATTATTATTTTTTTTCAGGTATATCTTGTATAAATTTTTGCTTTTTAGTTATAACTGCTTTAAATATTTAGCAGTGCATTTTTTATTTTGTCTCTCATTTGCTCGTTTCCTGTATTAGCTCCTTTGCTTCCTTACGTCTACGTTTGCCATGTATTTTATTTTTCTGTTTCAATTTTGTGCACTCTTTTTCAGTCTATAAGGTTATGCAATGTTGTCAAATGGACACGGAAATTTTATGGCAGTTAGCGGTTTAGGGTTATAACAATAATAGCTCTTTATTATTATGTTATAGTACTTCTCTATGTCTGCCTTCTTAGCCTCCTTGCTCACCAACGGCCGAGCGATAAAGTCTCGCTGAACACTGGTAGTTCGGTTTGGAGTTGCAATCCTGGAAAAAGGGCAGTTTCCCTTAAGAAGTCCTCCACGAAGGCATACCTTCCCTAACGCAGATAGCCCTCAAGTGCTCTTCCATAACTAAATAAATCACTCTTAGCTTCCTTACCGTTCCATGTATATATATATATATATATATATATATATTATATAATAATGCCGAAATTTACTCTCAATTATTTGTTCGTTTTCTGAACTCACGAGAAACATGTTTTTGACAGATGTCTATGAATACTAAGAGAAATAAAGAACAAATGTCTCAGTGAAGTACAATTGTCATTCAGAGAATCTTTAAAAATCTTCCAATCACTCTTCTCCTTATACGTTAGATTACTGATTACTTATTTCGTGAAATTTCTTGACATGTTATAGTCACTTACCTTCTATACACCTATTCTATTATACTATCAATCCAAACTGTCTTTTTAAAACTTACTCATTTACTTCTTTTTAAAATTCATTCATTTTTTGGCTCTAGACGGAGAAATCCATCATTATAGATGTATTAAGGCACTTGGGCACTTGATGTAAAGAAGGATGCTCTTAGTTGTAGGAAAGCTAATTATATCAGTCGCTTGAGAGACTATCAAACAGCAAGTGGCAGCAAAACTATGAAATTTATTTGTCAGAAAATCAGCTGTTGTTGCTGGTAAGAATATTCTCTGTATTCCGGAAAATGCAATTTTATACTGAAATAAAATACTTAAATCTAAATCTGAAAGTAAATTTCTGTTTCGTTAAAATAAATAATGCTGGAGAATAAAATGTTATGCTTGACCAGATTCTCACTAACTGTGGAAAATCAGCTTTGCGGTTCGTTTTTTGATTATTGTAACCCACAAAGGAAAGAGGCACTTTTCAGTTTTAGTCATAATATTTTAATTTAATCTGATTTTAATAGAGTAACGATTACATGCACGAATTATATATGTAGTTAACTTTGAAATGCCTGCCTGTAAAAAACGAAAGACCTAATTATTTCGCAGTGCAGCTTAAGCATGTATATAGTTACTGGCAAAATGTTCTCCAAATTCTGATGTACTGCAGCTCTGATTGGCCAGAGAGAATATGTTTTAAATAATACATAGTAAACAAAAATTACGCATGTTATGAAACAAATGAAAAGTTACTGTAATCTTTGTTTTTTCTGCAAGAAAATTTACCCGCTTCTAATCTGATGTAATTTAATCAAACTATAGGTGGGTTCTTCATACATTAGTGCACAGCTATTCGTTGTTCTGCTTACAGATTTAATTCTATTATCCTTTTGTTTAGAAATGTAATTGCCCTTCAGAAATACGAGCGTTGGATGTATAGTAGTAGCAGCACACTGATACATCTCCGAAAAAAGAAAAGACGTTTTTGCTATAGGGTACAAGCATTTAGAATCCCTCAATATAACTCCTTACCGTGTCTACCACGTTCTGCTGAATTATTCGAAAGTGCGATTTAAACCAAATTTTATTTTCTCATGGTTGGTTTCCAGCTTATATAGGTTTCGACTTAAATGCTGTAATCGAAGTAAAGAGTGTAATATTGTTGGAGAGTTCGCTAAGTTATTTTCCTTAATGCAAAGCTCAAGAAATTTATATCCTGATTTAATGAAAATACCATCTCAAAAACTTATAAAAGGTTATTTCTTTTTTCTAGAAATTATGAAAATAATTAATGAAAACAGAGTTATAGTAGGAATTGATGTATTTGTGTAACACTTCGTTTTATCAATTTATTCTAACACTAGTTGTTTTTATTTCATCTTATTTATTGATTTGTATGTATTTGTTCTGATCTGACGGGTAAGGAGATTATTTCTTTAGATCTCTTTTATGTATAATTTTTAGTTATTTTATTTATTTATTTTTTTTACCTTTTTGTTCCTCGCTGAATCCTAGTTTTCCTGAGTTATATATGAGTAATATGTAAGGAGGATGGCTGGCCTTTCTTTTTTCATTGCACGAGCTAGTCCCATTACGGTGTTATGGATAAATATTGATTAAACTAGGAGACAATGCTCTCAAATCAAAACCATCAGCACGACCACTCCTGTTGATGTTTAATATAGTAGTTCATGATGTTTCGTTAGAAGAAACGTGTTCCATTTGACTTTGGGAAATCTGGGAAATTAGATGTTGAATTTTAGTGGGAACCCTGTTGTAATTGCCATCCTCAAAAATGAAGTCGATCATTAAACCTATCGTAATCTTTTTTAAATTCTTAATATGATAGAGGCTTAATGAAATATTGTGTATGAAAAATATTCATATAGATTTTTGTCTGTGCTGTTTTCTTGTCCCTTATTCTCATATCACTATGTTTTAGACAGTATATTAATTTACAAAATTTTATCATCGAGCTTCATATAAACGATAATTGTTTTCCGTACTTATTTTAAAGCATTTGAAAATGATTTATAGCTCCTTAGTTACTGGACAGCTAAGGAAATAGAAATCTCGATTTTTCTTATTTTATGTGTTATTTCAGACAATCGGAAATTTTGCATTTATCGGGCGAATGGATTCCAGGCCAAACTCTGGAAAAGTTTTTCCCCTTTGTCATGGTTATAAATCATAATTGGATTTTTCTCTTGTATTTTTGTAAGATGCTTTATTTGTTATGTGGGGTACAGATGATTGATAGCCTGCTATTTATTTTAACGCATGTGTCTCAGTAAATAGTAATTGTGTTTTACAAAATATTACTGCAATACGATAGATCTTTTCATTCAAAATCTGTTACTGCGCTTGAAGCATCTTATCTCATATTATTTCTGCGATTTAATTTTATTTCTGGTTAGTTTAATTGTTTTGTAAATTAATCGTTAAGTGGGTGTTTGAATTTTATTGCAAAAGGTTTCCTATTTTTCGAGCAAAAACGTCATTTTAGGTCTTCGTGAACAAATTATGTGCGTATTAAATATTACATGCTATTGGCGAAAACCACTCCATTATCCACTGAAATGTTTTGAACTTTTTTTACTAAACTCTCTGAGGAACATGGGTTGAAGTTTTAATAATCTGGTTGTCTCTCAGTAACAGCATGCATTACAGTAAATCAGTAATTTATCATTTATGATAATAAATTACAAAAAAACTTGTAGATTCCTAAGGATTTATTTTTTATTTATATTTATTTATTTATTTTTAAGTAGGAACACGAAAAATGAGCAGTGCCCTCACCGGGACCTCTCGAATAGATGCCAAGTGTGCTACCGTTACACCACGAAGGAATGCAGGAAGGAGGGAGAAAATACCTTATAGACTGTGCACTTACAGAATAATACGGAGAAATTAAACTGTGTGGGAATTTCAGATATCCCCTGCTTCACTATTATCCTTTTGCGTTATTTCTTTTTAATAGAAGACTTAACGCTTCATCCCTTTCATTCTCTTCCTTCTTCTTCTCATTTTGCAATCATAATTGCTTAAGAAAAGGAGTACCTTTTTTGGAGGATTTTCAAAGGGAATCTGGTTCGTATTTATGTTACATATGGAGAGGAGCACAAAAACCTCACTTAACGAAAGCTAATACGGAACATGCAAGCAACATTCCATGTCTTAAGAAATGCATTGGATGTATTAGTTGTTTCATGGTAGCATGCGTTAAATTTTCTTGAATGTCAAAACAGCGTATTTAATATCAAAGCACTTATTAAATATCTGCAGCAGACTGGTGTGTTAAGATACATAAACACTGTGATTCTCAATATTAACTATATTCTCTTCTGTGGTACACTCGAGTTCCACAAACTCAATGTGATGTGAACTTAAAGGGTGACGAGTTATCGAAAATGTCGAGTTTTACGAGGAAGGAAGATTTATTCAGAACGCATAAGATTTCGCTTAACACTTAAATCCATGACAATTTTATTAATACTTTCCACTTTGTCAAGGCATCCAATTTAACTTCCCTTGCCATGGTGTTTTGTTTCCTTTTCTTCTCGTTCGATAGTCTTACAAGTGTTGTGTTATGTCACTTGCGCAGATGACATAACACAACACTTGTAAGCCTAGATATGAATTATGAGCTGAATGTTTGCCGTACTGTTGGATACAATTATAAACTTTCAGGGAAGCCTTCTAACGGCTAGCAACAAAATGGAATATAAGTGGTTAATCGTCAGCGGCTACCTGAATTTTTTCCGGCCACTTTGTTACTAAGAACATTTCAGCCCACTTTGCTACTCAGAAGAAAGCAGTCAATTTATAGATTTCCACGAAAGGAACAAATCTGTCGCGAAATTCGTAATATAGGTTCGAAGAAATGTCACAGAGGAAAGGAGACAAAAATTGCAAATTAGAATACCATAACAAATCTTTGAACAGAACAGGAAAACATGCGGACATTTCATATGCATAAGTATGCACTGTAATTACAGTAATACAATACTTGAAATGTGTTTATACTTTTTGCGCTGTATTGGGACATGGTTAGAAAATATTATAGCTATTAATAAAGCACGTCATTATTTGAAATGTAGTATTCTTTTTGACTAGCGGAATGTCCAATAATCGGAAGTCGAGTTCCGGGGCGGAAGTTACAGGTGTGTGAAGGGGAATTGCAGTTTCTGTAGCTGTTCCCCTCCTGTATTATAAAATGTTTATTCTCAAAAAAAAAAGGGGGGGAGGGGCAAGGGGATGTTTATTACGAAATTTAATCAAAATCCTAACTGCTGTCCATATTTTATAGATTGTCTAATATTTTCTATCACATTTGTTCTCAAGATGAATTTGACTCCATTTTGTTGTCTGAAAGTATGCTTTTGAGACACTGCGCGTCAGATTCCCAAACCAACAAGAAATGGTTAATCAATTTGTATGCTCCGTGTATTTGGAAGATGAATGTTGTCGAGGCATCGACCCCTGACGACAAGTGATATGAAATTTCGTATTTATTCACTATTAATGCGAGTCGCTCAGCGCTCCAACCATTCGCTCACTCCAGCCGTGGAATGTCTTCCCCATCAGCACTATCGTCCTTGTTCATTATTCATCATTATCCCGGTTGCTATCACGCCGGCGATTGCCCGGCTGGAAATCTCAGCCTTCGGCCCGTTAAAGTCACTTGTCTGGAATTTATATTTTGCCCACTAATTGGGAAGTTATTGATTCTGTGGGAATGAGCATGGAGGCTATAGAAACGGTACGCTCGGGTGTCGCAAATTATGTTCATAATGGTAACGTATTTCTTTTGTGCTGAAGTTTCAGCAGCCTTTTCTGCTTTGATTTATTTCTGTACCTATTTCGGTAGTAGTTTAAGCTCTAATGAACACTTTTCGTTATTTATGATAAAAATATTTTAGTTTGATGTTTGAATGAAATTCTTTTATGTGGGTTGTTTTACATTAATCATTCTCAATATATCCAATACTTTTTTCCGCGGTAGTTAAAGTCTGCAAAATAGAGGCTTGAAGAAGTATATTGCACAGGGCAAATTAAATGATTAGTTCCAGATGTAAAAATTCAGTCCAAATATTACGTTATTTCGAAATAAACCTCATTAAAATCTGTAAATATTTATTTGTAATAATATTTTTATTATTTTAATTACATATTTGTGTGCACTAGATGTATAAACTTACAAGTTCTTTTAATTTGAATGATAAGTAATTA